GGAAACGGACACGTCTCTCCTCGCTCCACCAGCTTCCACAGCGACGGGTTCAGGGTCATGGCGGCGATCGAACCAAGGGACGTTTGGGAACCATCCCCGGCGCTCCGAGGCGTGCTGGAGTTCGACGAGAGCACCGACAGCGGGGTAGACGATGCCGACGACGACGCCGAGCCCGGAGAGAGACGGTTCTTCCTGCCACCGGTACCGCCGCCGCCGCCGCCGCCGCTAGCCCTACCACCGGCACCGGTACCGTGGTCGCCCTTGGCCTTGGTGCCCGGCTTGTCGGTGTCAGAGGCGTTCTTGTTGGTAGCGGGGGTAGCGGGGAAGTCGTCCAGAGCGCAATTGCTCAGGATACCACCACCACCGCTTGCCTTGGCGGGTCGACTGCACGTGGGAAACGCAAACGTAGTTATCCCGGGGGGAAAGGGGGGGGGGGGGGGGGGGGTCCCGCGTGTGTGACAAATCCGGCGGCAAGTGAACGGCGGAGGGCAGGGGGAAAAGGCGGGCGTGCGAGTCAAGAAAGGCGGCACGACCAAGCGGAATCGGCTGCCCAGCAGAAGAGCTGAAAGAACGCACGACAGAAAGCACGACAGGAACGTACAGCACTACTGACAGCCAACAGCCAACAGCCAGATGCACGTTGTTACGGCATAGAGGCAGGCGGGTCCGTGTGGGTGCCTCGGTCCCTTGCTGCCTAGTCGCGCGCATTGTAGTATCATACTTCCATCTTTTTGACATCTGCGGTGTCGAGAACTCGGCCGGAAACACTTTGTTCCACCACGCGAAACTAGGGATAAAAGAGACAAAAAAAAAAAACAGACGAGCGTCTCGGATACCCAGCAACTAGTAACATATGCACACCGATTGTACAAGTACACAGCGTTGACATTTTTCAAGCGCTTGAGCGGGGGGATCAAAAACCACAACTTTCTCTGCTGTACGGTGCAAAAGCTGAAACTGAACACCGCATAAACGCACGCCGTCTGCATCGGTAAAACAGTGGGCACTTGATTCCTCAGAGCGGCATCGCAGTAAAACTGGCATCACGGACATAACTCAAGGCTGACACAAACTCAAAATAAGCACAGTTTCCAGTCGGTTTCAATTCACTTACTGAAAAGACTCCAACACATCCCTTCCGACTGAGGTATCTCGAACAGGTAGTCTTTCTGAAAAAAAACAAGAACAAACTAATGGTTCCGTTGTACGCAGCACTTGTCCTTTGCTGGGCATGATACCGGCATAGATTCATGCGCGATAAAGCTGTTGCAGGAACCCTTCCCTTCCCCCCCCCCCCGTGTACCGCACGCGCTCTGTCAAGTGATGCTTTGCCTTTCTTTTTTCCTGTCAAAACACGCTTGCCTTGTCGTCTTGGTAGTCCCTCTTTCCCACGAGAACGATATCACCGGCGCTAACCCACACTTTCTTGCGCATCTTCCCCCGGATGTGTCCCAGGCGCGTAACTCCGTCGTAGCAGTAGCACTCCGCTCGCCCGTTACCCAGCATGCGCACAACCTTTCGCAGTAGAAATCGGTCAAAACATGGTCGTTTTATACCATCACAACTGTACCAATAGTTTCGATATGTCGCAAAGGACGCCCTCGTTTCGATAATTCGAAAAGTGTGAGCCCTCACGTCTCAAACGACAACTTCCTCCGCAAAAGCGCTACCGGTGGGTCTGTTGGGGGGGGGGTCCACCGAGGTTGGCAAGAGCAAGGGCTCTCCCACATCAACTTAACCCTAACCCACGCTCAAAAAGCTATCCTCAACTCAAACGAAACATAGACTACTCCTACACAGATACCCCGCCAGTGGTTCCCGCCGCCATTTTAGGATTGAGAGATGCGTGTCTCGTTCGAGCAGCAGCAACAGAGGAGGAGGGGAACACGGAACAGCAAACTAATGACAGCGCCAGGCCAGCACCGACGGCGCATTCTTCAACGGTTCACCCGCTCGAGTCACCCCGGCCACGCGTGACAGCAGTGTGACGTGTCTACGACAGGGCAAGAAGCAGCGAGGACAAGTGCCAACATCCAATCTGTCTCAGACAGCAAGCCACGCAAGAACAATGGCGGCAAGCGCGAGAGTGATGACGCGACAACGTCTACTTGTGAACCCACCCACGAAAAACCAACAAAGCTGCTGTTGCGATTGATTTATCTAGATACAATACGAGGTACACACCACGCGGCAAGAGCGAGATCGACGACGCAACATTTACTTGTAAACCCGCTATTATAGCAAAAAACGACTGTATCTACCAAGTGCACCCACACCTACCTGCGCGTACTCTTGGCCGGCCTCCTTGAACTCGAGCTCGCGCTTGGTCTCCTCGTTCTCGTTCTTTCCCCTCCGACGGTTCTTACCACCCTTTCCTGCAAAAAGAAAAAAGAACAAAGAAAAACACGGTTGGAAAGGTTAAGGTTCGGTTAAGCTAGTCTGGTAAACTACGCACGGTGCGGCAAGCCCGTTTCGGGCGAGACACAGGGATGGTGGTAGTCAGCCGTGTACGGCCGAGAGAGAGAGAGAGAGAGAGAGAGAGAGAGAGAGAGTGTGGGAACAGCAAACGTAACTGGAGGAGGGAGACACCGAGGGGCCGGCCAGGGAAGTCATGCCGTAGTTGGGAGGGCAAGAGCATACGTTTCGTTGGATAAAGACAAACCCACAAAATTACCCAAATCAGCGTGATTGGTGGGGCGTCCGCGCGAGGACCCCGGCTGCCCGAAGTTGCGCTTTGTACCCTGTTCCTGATTTCTGACTCCATGTGGTTTCTCTGAAGCCCGTCCAGCTGTTCCCTACTTAAGGGTGAAGACGTCGATGCCCTCCGAGCTGGCCATTGTTGTTATTGGAGTCTACCAATTAGGCGAGACTTGCGCAACCTCCCGGAGAGCTGCGATCGACCAACAACAGATTCTGTCGATCAACAGATTCTTGCACAAAAACTACAAGGGAGCCGCATGGCAACAAAATCAGGACTACAGGGCACACACAACTTCGGGCAGCGGGGGTCACCGACGCCTCACCAGTCACGCTGACTGAGTAGCCTTGCCATAAACTGATAGTAGCCTGCAACGGGATGTACGAGGGCTCAACCGAATATTTGCACGTTTCTTCCAGACTACTGCTGTTGTAGAAGTACCTTCTCTTGAACATTTTCAAAAGTACTTGTAGTCGTCGTCGTTTCGTATGTACCAGTATGTAGAATGTTCTCGGGAAAAAGCGCACTGGCGATGTTGAATTTTTCCGCACAGCAGCAGCAGCAGTACCAGCAGTGATTGCGGACTTCTTTATCTCGAAACCAGTGAAACGTACTTGCAATTCTTACGTCCCGGTGGAATTGAAGCGACGACGGTGCGCACACGTAGGCGGTGCCAGCGTGCCAGTAGGTAGGGTCAAGAGCGATTGTGGCACGGTCAACTGCTGTGTCCCCAAGCGCGGAGCGCGGATGGGTATACAAGCGGCAAAATAGAGTTCACGCCAAATCTGGGTTGTGCATCCCGTAGTCGTTACACCATTTACTTCGCATCCCTACAAGGTCGGGCCGGAGCACGCCGGGTTCTCACCGGACCACGCTCTCACATCACCAAGCGCGAAGCGCCGTGAGGTATTCGGCGAGTCGCATGAAGGGTGCCCTGCATCCTGCGAAGGGTGTTCGGCATCTTGTTTGGCGCTTACTTCCTTGCATACGGATGACAGCTGCGAATGACTTAATTTATTTTCGGGTGCTTTCGCTTCCAGAGACAGTTATGAGCATTGTGTAACTGACCCGAGGGTGCTTAACCAATTTAACACAACGTGGTGCGATCATCCCCGTTGCGCGGAGTGACTGTTGTCAACCCCGCACAACATGATCTACTCGACCACCATTATGGTTACCGCAAAAAAAAAAAAAACGGCAAAAAAAAAAAACGGCACGCTGGTGGTCGAGCTCACGAAGCGATCGGCTTGTTTTACAACGTCATTGCCATTCGACGAAAACCCAACCCGATGAAAAACACGGGCGGGGATGGCTTGTTTCACAACGTCGTTGCCAAGCGACGAAAACCCAACCCGATGACAAACACCGAGGGGGATGGCTTGTTTTACAACGCCAAATCTGGGTTGGGATGTGGTAAATAAAAACAAATGCAGGGCATGATGGTAGAGGGTGGGGCTAACGTACACTGCATACGCCCTAGCAAGTACGCCGGGCGTGCTGTTGAAGTTCGCACTCGCCTGCCGCGGCGAAATTATCCCCAACCATCCTCGACCTAGCGCTGTGGTAAGCTAGCGCTTGCTGTGGCATACAATTCAGTGAATGTCAAACACGGCAACCCCATGATAGGCAAAAAAGCGAAATAAAGGAGCCCTACATACGTGAGGCATCTTCACGGCCAGGTCACGTAAGCCGTCTCAGCAGGCGCTGCTGCTGCTATCAATTTTTCCGCTCCCGACGTGACCTTTGAAATGAGGGGCGATCCATCTCCGCCTACACTACACATCTGAACTTACAGATCTACATGTAGGTGTGTCAAACTTTATTTCTTAATTTGGCTGGTGTATGCAGTCGCTCGTGGTTGCAACCACAAGCAGCGTCGGTTTCAGAGGCAGGGGGCGTGCTATAAAGGACGCAGTCAACGTAATCGGTAGAGGCTTTTATAACGTGTGCCTATTGCCGGTTTGGTTCAGTACCAAGTCTCTCCAAAGGACGATGACGACATCATCATACATCACCACACACCATCATCCCTCGCCAACTAAATCAAACTCCAACATTTCTACTACGCAAACTGAAGACAGCTCACCCTTGTTCTTCGGCATCACGCTCTCTGTTGCGGCTCGTAGCGCTCGATTCTAGCCCCCCGAGCGTCACCCTCTCAACTTCTCCCTTCTCCTAACTCGTGCTTGCTTGACGACGAAGGCGGGGCTGCCTTCAAAACTCAGAGTGCCACCCAGCACCATCGCTACGGGCACCACCGGCACCACGGAGAGACAGCTCGGAGGGAGGGGTTATGCCGTTGAGAAAAATACGATTTGAGGGGGGTAGGTCATTTCGGCCCGATTGTGAGGAGGCATGTCTACCCAGGGCGAGTTTCACGAGAGGCTGTGGAGGGAGAGGCTGGGTTGCCGTGGTCACACTCGGTAGTCTTCGGGTATTCCCCCCAAAACAACGTCACCATGGTGAGTGCACCGTCTGCGGAGAGTGTTGCTTTCCCTCCCGCCATGCGCGGAGCGTCGGTTCTGCGTTTTTTGCTCGCGAAAGCGTCCTGTTTGCGTGGAGAACTTTGCTTTTTTGTTTTCGATGGCAACGAGAGAGCGCGACAGCAGCGAGAAGCAGCAGCGTGTGCTGCGTGCTCTCTGCTGCCATGGTGCGTATCCAACCAGCGATGCACACATTCGCAGTGTGTGGTTGTGCTTATAGAATGACTGATCCCTATGGTAACCCATGCTCAAGCTTCGCTTGAGATGCTGCTGCTGTGGGTGCCGTGGGTATGTACCTCGATCCCACCCGACGACAGCTCTCCCTCACAAGAGTGGCGGAGGTTCGTTTGTGGCTGTGCCGATGGACTGATGGGAGTCGGCTGGGGTTGGAGGGGGGGGTGGCTGGCTTGTGCGACGGAGCATGGAGCGGGCGGATGCTCTGGTGCTTGCAACCATGGCTGAGAGAAGGCGCGCGAAAGAGGGAATATGGCACTTTTTCGCACCCCTCTCTCGTCTGTAATCCACCAATCGTCTTGATTGGCATTTAGCATTCACAATGCATTTAGTACTTGGAAGTATCTCTCACGCATGGGACACACACCCCACACCTTGCGCCCGTTGGCGTGAAGAACACGTTCAACCGCTCGACAGAACATATTCAAGCACCCGAGGTGTTATGTTGTGGGTGCGAATGCATAGTAACACAGTTTCAAGAGACCAACTGGCTGTGTCAATCCCCAGCCTGCTGGGTACACCGCTCCAACGCGGGCATAGTCTATGCAATATACTTTTGGCTCCGGCTGGGATCCGGCACCCTCATCCTCTCTTACAGCGGTTGTATCAAAAGACGGATTGTTGCGTCTCTGCAGATAATGCTTTGTGCACTGGTCCAGCGGACGGATGCATGGAATGCCTGCTTGTGCTGTATGCGAGCAGTGGAAGGGTGCGTGGTTCCACGACTCCACCCCAATACAAGTAGTGTATAGGCGCAGAGGTTTCATGACACAACGACAACGTTTCCCCCATCCGACGTGCCCCCTTGCTATCGGGATATCAGCTCTTTTGCTCTACACATCTGTGTGGGCTTATAACACACTCATTGTTTATGTACAGTAGACGGCTCGGGAATGCTGGAAGAGAGGGGGAAGCAATGGGTAGTAGCTGAACTGCAGCGTGTGGAGATAAATATATCGACCCCCTTTTTGCTGTAGATTTCCAAACGAGAACTGCTGTTCGCCGAAGACGATCAATGTCATCGTTCGCAATGCCAGCTTCTCCACTACAAGTAGTTCTGTTTGTATCTATGCATCGTGTAAAACGAGCACGACCGCCATGCGAGACGAGGCACGACCTCGAATCAGCGATAATCGAATCGCCATGAGTTGCCTTGTCTTGGATCGCTTCACACCGAAGTCGACGATGATCCCAAGTAATGTTGAAACGTTGAACGTTGGCATGCCCCGCGATCGGCGTGACTGCTTCCCAATGGTTGCCACGAACATTGCATGGACCATTGACATCCGACGAACTCGACCAACTTGTTCTGTTATCACTCAGGTCTAGGACAAAATTCCCAACTCTCGATCCCTCAACACTGCATCAACCTTTTCAACTACTGCTGCACTCAACCGGAATCTAACTAAACATCTCTCGACGTTCAACCGCGTTGTTTGGTGTCCTGCTACAACAACGGCAACCAACGTCGGCAACAGGGTCGCGGCCCCAAGAAGCACATGAAGCGTCTGAACGCGCCCAAGCACTGGTTGCTGGGCAAGATGGAGGGCATCTGGGCCCCCAAGGTACGATCGCTGCTGCTGTTGCCAGCACTCGTGATGCATGAAAAGCGCGGTTGCGTTCAGTCCCCACGGCTAACTGTTGAACAAGCCGGACCATTGGACTATTGTGCCGCTGACTAGGCTATTGGTTTGATTTCGGCTTCTATAGGCTGTGTAACATGCGTGTGTTGCAAGCAACACGTTCCCTTCCGGAGTTGGTGTAGTCTGTCATCTGGGTTACGGTTTCGTTTGCCTGTGGAACATTCACGAAGTGTTATCTTCCTGCGGGAAAGCTCAAGTATGGCCTGTAGCTGTGGAAGCCGGCAAATTTTCAAATTTTGCGTGGAAACGATCCACAGCAACGGAACTCGATACTATACCTGAGTTCTTCGCGAACACTGAGGTCGACCTGCAACAGTAGCCGCGAGAAAATGATTGGAAACTTCTGTGCACCGTCTCGAAAGAGACACTCTTGGTCGAAGGGCGAAAGACTCAAGCCGAATCCGCTGCCCCCCCCCGTTCCTGCAGCCCTCCCCGGGACCCCACCTCAACCGGGAGTGCTTGCCGCTGGTGATCATCATCCGCAACCGGCTGAAGTACGCGCTCACCATGTCAGAGGCGAACATGATCTGCATGCAGAAGCTCATCAAGGTGTGTGCATGCCCTCTGTCTCACACTGCCGTGTCATAGCAGCAGAAGCTTTTTGCGTTCCGATTAGGTGGCACACTTTTGAGACAGGCGGCGTAAGTATCGTCTAGTGCGAGCAGTGTCGTTTGTGGTGCTGATTGTCGTGTTGTAAATGCCGTCGCACAGCAAAAGAAAAAGATGTTCAAGCCGGGCACTACTTCCAATTGTTGTAAGGAGGCCATGTGTGAGGCGATATAACGCGTTCGGTAACTGCGGATAACGGTGGCGGCCACGAAAGCGGGCTGATACAATGTTTGAAGAGATGGAGCGAAAACTTGCCCGCCTCTACCCAAGTGTTGCGTTCCTAGCTTTTCGGAAAACGCTCAGTAAACGCTGTGATGTTGCGATTTAGGTCATGCCTTGGGACTATTTAGTGCTGCTTCTCCATACAGCTACATACGCGGCGTTGTGAGGGTGCGTTTGCCATCGATTCGTACATGTGGACATATCGTCGTCGTGTGACTGATTGGCGGGTAGTGCTGCGCAGGAGGTGTATCGCATCGCAGACCCTTGTTGCCATTGCCCTCCGAAGGCCCCCGTCACAACTAGTCACTTCCAGATCCAGCTGTTTGTGTGATTAGGAACCCATCTCCCTCTTGCTTGCATCAAGTCGAATTGTCCCGCCCCCTTTCTTGGTGTTTTCCAGCCCCTCCCGTTGTGGAGCCTTCGATAAACTTCGTCTTACAACATTTGCCTTGCGGCTCTTTCCGTGCGTTGCGTGGCTTTTGGTGCTCCCCCTCTCCGTGTGTAACACATGATGACCTTGGACATACTCCGCTTTTTTTGTTTTGTTTTTTCAGGTGGACGGCAAGGTCCGCACTGATGTCAACTTCCCGGCAGGGTTCATGGGTGAGTCAGGCAGTGAGACAACCTGTCTCGAGTTGTTGGCTATTCAGTTTTGCGAGAGGTGGTATACACACACGTTTTGTTTACGGTTTTGGTGCGCACATTGGCAGAAAACACTTCCTTGTCTCGATCAACCAGTAACACAACCACATGTATTACATGCATACCATACCATCCAAACATGTTTTCATGTGCACCACGCCTGCATACCCCTCGAAGTGGAAGCAAGGCATGTGAATGTTGTTGTTGGTTTAGTTCTTGCCATCGCGCGGAAAGAGGGAGCCGTCCTGTGATTACAAATCTATGCACCACTCCAGAAGGCGAACGTGTGGAGAAAACACCTGATCACCATCTTTCGTATGAGGACGGCTCGGATCTTTTTTTTCCCGTGGTTTGTATCCCATCCAGGGAACTTGTGGAGATGGGCATCATGAATTAGTCGCCCTTGCCTATGCACACACCCTCCAGACCTTCGACTAAAATTGCCGAGCCTTTGGGTGGTCTTTCATAGACCAAATGAAAGTTTGTCTATTTCTTCAACGGACGAAAATCTCGATCAGTCGCAGGCGCAACCGTCCGACGGTCGCGCCTGCGATTGATGAAGGTTTTTGTCCCTTAACGAAATAGACAAACTTCCGTCTGTCCTGTGCACTACTTCCCCAAACGCTCTGCAATGAAGTCAAAGGTCTGGCGGGTGTGTGCATAGGCAAAGATGTCGGCTGATGCTTGTCGTTGCACCCGCACATGAATGGTTTCGTCTTGCTGTTCGGCTGTCCCATGATCGCGAAGTTTCACCATGGTAAATATACATAAAGAGAACCCGTATGCATATGGATGTACGAGGCCGAAAGTGAGTCTTGTAGGTGTTTTAGGCTGCTCTTGTTCCTCCGATTAGGCTGCCGCGAGACAGAAAGCCGTCCTGTGATTACAAATCTATGCACCACTCCAGAAGGCGAACGTGTGGAGAAAACACCTGATCACCATCTTTCGTATGAGGACGGCTCTACGCGTGTTTCGGTTGCATAGCATTGCTGCTGTGGGTAGCCAGCTTCTTAAGCGTGTTTATCGAAGCCTCTTGTAAAAATATTGGGCCTCATGCAGACACACAAAACATGAACCATTGCTTCTTTTTTGTTGGGGTTTCGATAAACGGTACTTGTTGTGAATTTTGCCTTCCGCTCTGTTTGTAAACCCCAAGTTCAAAATCGGAACCTTCAACCCAAATACATGAAACAATCACCATCAGTGTTTTCCGGGAAAAACCGGTGTCCGTCCCGTTTCGACGTGTAAACCGTCCCGCTCTCATGTCCTCGAAACCGTGATTGCATTCTCGTCCCATACTGGCACTGGCTACCAGACGTGGTGCAGATCCAGAAGTCTGGCGACCTGTTCCGGTTGCTGTACAACACCAAGGGGCGCTTCGTGCTGCACCGCATCTCCGAGGAGGAGAGCAAGTTCAAGCTCTGCCGCGTGAACAAGGTATAGTACGGTACACCACCGCGTAAGTTGGACCAGTACGGACATTAGAAGGTTCTGAGCGGAGACCGGAACGGTTTTTTATATACAGACAACAGCAACAACCACCACCTTTGGTGCCACAGAAGGTCCCACCACTGGAGAACCTCTTGTTTCGAGCCTCAGTACATCCCCCCTCGGCGACTGGATGTAAAGGATTGAGTGTAGGCTTCTTGACTGAGCAACTGTGTCTACAACTACAAGCAAGTTCTTGGATTGTTCAAGGCGCAAGTTCTTACAAGTAGTGGCGCGTTCTCTCTTTTTTTTTAAATGCATACAATACAATCAGAGAAAGAGTACCTGTTCGAGGTATAACCACAGACAGCGGAAGGGGACGGGTTCAAGTCCATTCAGGGAAAAAACGGGTGGATACTTGGATGTACCGCATGTTTTCTGGAAGAGTTGACGTTGTGTATAGGTACTTGCGCGATGAGGAAAACCTAAACTTCCGCCGTTTCTGAAGGCTTGTACTTGGGCTTGTTTTAAGCTGAAGTCGAACCCTGTGCTGGACACTGAAGTTCCTGAGCGCTGTGTTGTGTGTAGGTACTTGCGTGATGAGGAAAGCATAAACTTCCGCCGTTTCTGAAGGCTTGTACTTGGGCTTGTTTTAAGCTGAAGTCGGACCCTGTGCTGGACACTGAAGTTCCTGAGCGCTGTTTTGTACTTGTAGCTTTGGTGCTTTGGTTGCTTCGGGGTGTTGTCTAAGCCCCTGGTTGGAAGATGAATAAACCTAGTGGTTGGCGCCCGTGCTAACCGTCGGTGACCCGTTTTTGAGTTCAGCCAGCGGCGATGTCAACCGTTTAGAAAAACACAAGGATGTTCAACATCAACATTGCCGTCGGTTGTTTTTTCGGTTTTTCCAGTTGTGGATCTCGATTCTGTTTATTTCTGCGTTTGGTATACGCATGATGCGATCTTCAAAGACCAGATACTAAATTATTAAAGCAATCCACCTGCTAATGCTGGTGTCTTGTTTATGGTGTTTTTCGTGTTTTTCGTGTTTGAATGGCGGTTTTCTACCTGCGGATGTTGGAACGCATGTTTACATCGGAGGAATTGATCTTCCCCAAATGTTATTTGGTCAGTTTTCCCCAAAAATGTCTGCCCCGTAACACACAAAAAATACGCAGTCATAATTTACGGTTGAATATTTTTCCGTGGTGTTCGCGCGACTCATGAACCATCTCGCTTGTGACGCTTAACGCTACACCAAACATACTCGTTGTGTCGATGTACGTTGGCACCTACTGCTGTGGAAGTATCATATCTGTCTTTTCCCTTCCTCGCAACAAGCCGCCCTTGTGCCCTTGGTAGATTAGCTATTTAGTTCAAGTTTTGACTGGCTCTTGATGTCGGGTGTTGTTGTCGATACGCCGTCTGTCAGGTGGAGATGTCATTTCTAACTGGATCTGGCTCTTGATGTCGGGTGTTGTTGTCGACACGCTGTTTGTCTGTCTGTCTGTCAGGTGGAGATGTCGAAGAACAAGATCCCTTACCTGGTCACCCACGACGGACGCACCATCCGTTACCCGGACCCCCTGATCAAGGTATCCTACATAAGTGACGCTACCTACACTCAATATGCAGAGAGATTACGGATACCAGGAGAGTACTAAAAGTAGCTTAGTGGCCGTGAGAAATTCGCAAGTATAGTACACAGCACTGCACGACTGTTGGAGAGTCGGACATACCAGAACTAGCGAGTGACGTTTGAGAGTAGGGCTACAAGGGGTGTGTTATGCCTCGGTTCCATGTTCCGCGAGCGATGTAGCAAAAGACGTGAGGGAAAAGAAGATGGCGGCCTTCTTTCATGGGGCGCGTCGATGGTGTGCAAGGCACAACGTTCAAAGTGGTTTTCACGACTCACAACATCATCACGATGTCATGGCCTGCGAAACGGACATCCTATCCATCCATCCAGGTGAACGACACGATCAAGGTGGACCTCGAGACCGGTAAGGCGATCGACACCATCAAGTTCGAGATCGGCAACGTGTGCATGATTGCGAGGGGTCGCAACGCTGGCCGCGTGGGCATCATGCAGCACATCGAGAGGTATGATACGTGTCGGTGTATTTTTGTTTGACATCGACCGCGCTAACAGGCTCGCCAACGGAGATACTTCTCTCTAGCTTCTTGTTTTTTTTTGTAACTCTTACTCCGATGATGGGTGGCATCTACCCGCTACCCGATTATCCGATGAAAAGAAGGAGTCTTCGTAGGGTTGAAGACGAAAAATAGCATAATTTGGTGGCGGGCAGCGGTGCGGTCACAGACGTGTGCGTGCGCATGTTTCGGTTCAACTATAATTAGAAGTACTTGACATGGACCGTACTACCCGTTCGTAGATGATCATTGTCAGTTCTTGGTTGTCCTGGCTCGTCGACTCACACCCGTCCCTTGTCTGCGGTTCCGGGCTGCCTTCCTTCCACCCCTCGCGAATGCCTTCTCGTTTCCAAACAGGCACCCCGGTTCGTTCGACATCGTGTCGGTGAAGGACGGAGCCGGCCACGTCTTCGCCACCCGCCTGCAGAACATCTTCACCATGGGCCACGGCACCCGCGCAATGGTGTGCATAAAAAGCGTGCTTTTTCGTTGGCCTGCGGTTTTGTGAAGTAAACCTTGTGTTTTCGGGGGGGGAAATCAACAGCGGCTGTTCGGTCCTATGCTCGAACCGC